GGATACGCTTACTAAACTAATTTACTTCGAGTCAATAACAAAATATGAAAATATATAAATTTAGTAAAAGCGGCAAAAATATATTTAATTATTGGTATAAAATGACAATAGGAAAAAAAAATCTTAGATTTTGCCGACGCGTTTCGTCTCCAGACGTTTTTCAAGGCAAAAATGAAATCAAAATATTTTTGTTATTATAGTTACATTAAAAAATCTAAATTTAAAAAGATAGACGCCTCTGTCTAATCCTTTTTTTTCTGGTTAATGTATTGATCTGGGATTTTAACTATATATTGTCGACATGGAAAAAAATCCCTTACTATAAAGGTAATTTACAATTTTTCGGAAGACGAAACGCGTCGGCAAAATCTAAGATTTTTTTCCAGTTGTCATTTTGTACCAATCTGTCTTGTCCACAGAATTGATCTGGAAATTTAACTATATTTAATTATTGGAACGGGTGACGTTTTTAATAGTATTTTTTTAGGTAAGAAAGTCTGGTTTCTTACTAAGTAATATAGTCATTTGATTATTGAATACTGTGTCGGGACAAAAGTTTGTGGCGTTTTTAAGTGAATTTTAGACAATATTCATTTATTTCTACATAGATTTAATCAAATACATATGTGTCTTTATGTTCCACTACTTTTACCATCTTTGAGGCAGCTTCATGATATTCAGCTCCCTGAACAGGGCGTCTTTCTGGTTAAGGAACTGATCTAAATTGCTTTTACAGGCTTTCAGAGAATTAAAGTTCTTCGCATTAAGGAAATATTGTATGGATGGAAATAAGTAGTAATCTGAATGTGAAAGGACAGGTGTGTACGGCAGGTGTAGTAGGATATTCCTGGCAAGCTGAAATAACTTCTGCTGAGTTTGTAAAAAGATGTGTTGTTTGGCGTTGACCTGATGGGAAACGATACCCCTTCTGATTGGTCAATCCCATGATGCTTTTCAACAATGACTACATTTAATTGGTTAACTCGAAACATAAACTTCTTCGTATGTAGATTGGCTTTTACAGTGGTTAACTGTGGCTCATTTTATTCTTTTCAATACTTTTTCTCTCCACATTGTTATAAACAATAAAGTTATGATTACTTGTCATCGTTTTTTACGAAAATACCTCTTTTTTGTGGCGTTTGAATAGAAAGTCGCAGACAGAAATACAGTTCATTATTTTATTTTGTTAAACCCTGAGGCACTCAAACATCGTAGTAATTCACGTATCTAAGTGTTTTAAGATGTCTTACAAAGCTCATAGGAGATATGTGAGTATCTCAGCAATGGCCCGTCCACTGGATTATTTTGACTCCATTTTAATAGATTTCACTTTCCACTTCTATAATTAAGCAAATAAAACAATCTGCATAACATTTAATTTAGCATATGAACCAAAGAACCTAAGGTTAGCCTTGAATATCGATAGTTGAACGGATTGCTAGATGCTTAAACAGGGAAAGGAAGATGGCGGCCAAGCAGTGTGTTGCCTGAAAGTGCTGCTGATAATATAGTATGTATTTGATAGAGATCATTTCTTCAATAAAATGAAAATAAAACTTAAATGTATTTTTACCACACACACACACACAAATATATATATATAATGAACTCTCCCGTCGTTTTCGACGTATGAGCGTATATATGTATATATTTATATGTTTATATTAGATTTGTAACCTGTAGTCGATATTATTTTGTCAAATTTTCTTGACTGCACAGCGGCCCTTTTATAAATGCCCTTCGGTTTTAGCTGCACCCCCTCAAGTATCTTCCCACCTTTTTTCCTCTCCCTCTCTCATCTTCCGATCTTTAAGTGTAGATTATATCGTCTATTGTGTGTGTGTCACCACAAAATGTAAACTCTTTTCCGGTGTCTATTTTTAATTTATTTTAGGTCATCGATTCAGAAATGTATTAGACATCCGAGAATATTCATATTTATTTGTATCTGACTCCCCTCCTTAAAACTTCTGACTGTTAAATTTTAACACCCACCTTCACCTTTAGACCTTCCTGTTCTTCTCTTGTCTGTTACCCCCCCCCCCTTATAGCTTTCATTTACTCTAGCATTCGTCCCACACTCTCATACATACACTCTCATTAAATTCTATTTTTTCTTCCCGGAGTTATTTTTTCTGTTTTCTTTTTGAATTTGTAGGTCTGATGAATTGGATCGTGTTTACGATTCCAATGTAATAAATTATAACCATGGAATATTAGTGTTTAAGCCTTTTTATTATATTCTTACTCTGTCCTGGACATTAAATTCTACCTGGATTCTATCCTCTTGGAATTTTTTAACACACACACACACACACACACACACACACACACACACACACACACACACACACACACACACACACACATATATATATATGTATCTATGTATGTTTTATGTATGTATATATATCTTTGTGTGGTTTAGATATATGTACATGTATGTATGTGTATATTATCCACTAATATCTATCTATCTATCTATCTATCTATCTATCTATCTATCTATCTATATATATATATGTGTGTGTGTGTGTGTGTGTGTGTGCGTATGTGCGTGCGTGTATGTATACAGCACCCCCCAAAAGTATTGGAATGAAAGCGCCTTTCCTATTTTGTTTGTTCACTGGAGACATTCGGGTTTAAGATAAAAGAAATATAAGACAAGAATTTCAGCTTTTATTTTCAGGTATTTACATTTAGATGTGTTACAACTTAGGATATACCACCTTTTGTCTGAGCCTATCCATTTTTCAAGTGAGCAAAACTTTTGGGAAACGTGACTTAAAGGTGTTTCTTGTTGCCCAGGTGTTTCCTTTTAGATTGCTTGTTTAAACATCAAATAGCTCTGAATGTCTACTCTTGGTTTTAGCCTTGGGTTCCACTAGTAAAGACTGCATTTCTTGTTAAAAAAGGATATTCCAACATGAAGTTGAGAGACCTGTCTATGAGAGAAATGCAAGCAATTTTGTAGCTGAGAGAAGAAGAAAAATCGATCAGAGTCATTGGAAAAACATTGGGTGGAGACAACACAACAATTTAGAATGTCTCGAAAAAGAAAGAAAATACTGTCATACTGAGCAACAGACATAGAAGACGTCGATCAATGAAAACAACAGCAGGTAATGACAGAAACATTGTCAGAGCTTTGAGAAAAAAAAAAAACAAAAAACAAAAGTCAGTGACATCATCAACAACCCCCGCAATGCAGGGCTAAAGGTATTACAATCCAGCGTTCGAAGAAGTTTTCAAGAGAAGAAATGGTCATTCCAAAACATGCAAAATACTAACAGTAAAAATCAGAAGGCCAGATTGGAATTTGAAAGAAAATACGGAATTGAGCGACAAAGGTTCTGGAAGAAAATTTTATGGACTGATGAGACGAAGATTAATCTATAACAAAGTGATGGAAAGGCGAACGTGTGGAGAAAGAAGCAATCTGCTTATAATCCTAAGCATACTCTATGAAGCATTGAGGTGTCAGTGCCTTGGTTTGGGCTTGCATGGCTGCCTCTGGAATAGACTCATTCATATTTATTGATGATCTAACTCATGATGGTATCAGCGCAATGAATTCAGAAGTCTATAGAATGATTTTGTCTGTCAATTTACAGATAAATGCGTCTACACCAATAGGAAGTTTATCACGCAACAGGACAATGGCACGAACCATACTGCCAACACAACAATGAACTTTATCAGGGAAAAAGTGGACAGTTTTAGACTGACCAAATCAATCACTGGACTATAAACCAATAAAACATGCATTTCATCTCATGAGGAGGAGACCGAAGGAAGAAATCCCCCTAAACAAACAAGAACTAAAAGAGGCTGCGTTAAATGTCTGGGAGAGCATAACAAATGAAATATGCAACAGTTTGGTGATGTTAATGAGTTGCAGGCTTGATGCAGTTATTGCAAGCAAGAGTTATGCAATCAAATATTAAATGGTATTTAGTTTAAGACTATCTGTTCATTTACTTTTGCTCACCTAAAAATGGGGTGATCTGATACAAAAGGTGGTATGTCCTAAGTTGTTTAACACATCTAAATGTAAATACTAGGAATTTAAAACTGAAATTCTGAACTTTTGTCTCATGTCTTGTATCTTCTCATCTTAAACCCAAATGACTTCAGTGAACAACGAAACCAAAGGAATTGGCCTACTTTTGGAGGGGACTGCATATATATATATATATATATATATATATATATATATATATATATATATATATATATTAAAGTTCTTATTTTAAAAATAAAGTTTCAGAGTGATCGACCTTAATTTGGGAGCCGGTATATATGTGTGCAGGTATGTAGAAAATAGGAAAGAACACGTTTGGTAAATAATCCAGAGTTCTTTAGTATTTAAAAAAAAAAATTATTTTATTTATTTTGTTTATTTATTTATTTTTTTAATTTTTTTATTAATCTAAGCTCTACTTCTGTATAGAGCACTGTTTTTTTTTTTTTAAATAAAAACAAAAATAATAAAGAACTCTGGATTATTTACCAAACGTGTTCTTTCCAGTTTTTCTACACACACACACACACACACACACACATATATATATATATATATATATATAATGAACTCTTCCGTCGTTTTCGACGTATGAGTGTCAAGCAACTCAGTTGCTAGGAACTGACAGCCAGACTCCTCCACATATGACTTGATTACAGTGGTAATGGCTTTCTGCAGAACCAACCACATTTTCTGAAGAGTCGAATACAGAGATCCGGTGCACCGTGTGCTACAAGGTTCCCAAACGACCCTCCGCAGGTTTTTTAATTCAGAGTTGTCCTGCTCCTAGACCTGTTGTCATCCAAGGCTATAGAATCCAGTCTGTCTTGCTATTTACTCATAGCTGGGGTAGGGGAAAAGGATTCATACCTTTTTTTCCAAGGGTATTAGGACGTGAGTGAGTGTAATGGATTCAACTGGAATTCGAACTCGGCTCTCCGATTCCTCAATCCGAGCTGTTATTCATTACTCCACTCGGTTCATCTATCGATGAAGAGCGCGGGCAACCGCGAGAACTGGAGCGAATTGCAGGGCTCAGTGAAAATCAACACCTTGAACGCACATTGCGGCCTCTAGATCCCTTGTCTCGGTGCCCAGCCCGGTCGGCGTAGACATACATACATATATATATATATATATATATATATATATATATATATATATATATATATATATAATCATTTTTTTAAAATATGATTCCAACACGCTACATAAGAGTTCTCATGTTTCAAAACAAGAGCCGAAATCTTCAATATAATTATTTGAAATTAAATTGAATTAAAGTAAGCTCTGTTCCATCTTTAAGCGAAATTTTTTTGGAATATCTTATTTCTGAAATTTCCGTGTTTTTATAGCATATTCATTATTGAAATCAAAATTTCTATGGTAACGGCTAGAGCGATTGTTTAAATAAAAAGGGGTGTTAATAATTTGTATCAGTATAGAGTTACATTCACCGATGTCAAGTCAGGGTAAAGTTGGGGTGTCTAAATTTAAAACGGAAGATGATTTCGCCTAGTCTGGTTTACGTGTCTATGGAGATTTATTTATTATTTTATTTTTTTTCTGAAAGGGCTTTGTGCATATAAAAACTGCTGTAACATTTGTTTTTTGACGACTTCATAAAGGGTTATCATTTTTTGTAGGGTATTTAAACTATTTATTAGGACTATGGATTTAAAAAATTATTTTATTGTTTGTTTGTTTTTATGCTAATTATTCAATGCAAAAATTTGATGATGTCGGCAAAAAACCGTTAACTCATGTCTTTTGTTTAATAGATTTTTATTATTTAGAAACTTAATAATGTGAAGTTTTTCATGTAGGCATAAAGGGCATGGGTCATCCCAAGTTTTACAAGTTCTAGTTTTGTTTATAATTTTCCATTTTTATGCTCTACTTTTGTACCGAGCACTATTTTTTTAAAATAATAACTAAAATACTAAAGAACTTTTGATTATTTATCTAACGAGTTCTTTCTTATTTTTTCTATACACACACACACACACACACACACACACACACACACACACACACACACATATATATATATATATATATATATATGTGTGTGTGTGTGTGTGTGTACATGCGTATATGTATGTATGTGCGTGTAAATATAAATATGATGTTGTGTATGTGTGTATCTACGTATGTGTTTTTGGGCATAGAAATAGTAGGTCCTTGCTAGATTAAACATTCGTTAATTTTTATATGTTTATATTAAATTTGTAACCTGTAGGTGTTATTACTTGCTTTGTCAAATTTTCTTGATTGCATAGCGACTCTTTTATAAATGCCCTTCGGTTTTAGTTCCCCCCCCATTTTCCCCATTTATTCTTTTCTTTTCTCTCTCTCTCTCTCATCTTCTGAATTTTAAGTTTAGATTATATCGTCTTTTATTGTGCGTAGTGTCACCACGAATGTTTACACCCGTTTCCGGTATCGGTTTTTAATTTAATTTAGGTCAGCGATTCAGTAATGAATTATGCATCGGAAAATAATTCATATCTGTATCTCACTCAATTAAACCGTCATTTAACTCCTCTCTTTAAAACTTCTCTCTGTTAAATTTTAATCCCCACCTTCACTTTTAGGCCTTCCTGTTCTTCTTTCGTTTGGTACCCCTCTCTAGGGCATTCATTTACTTCCCCCATTCGTCCCCACTCTCATACATACGCTCTCACTAAATTTTATTTTTTATTCCCGGAGTAATTTTTTCCGATTTCTTTTTGAATTTGTAGGTCTGATGAATTGGATCGTAATTACGATTCCAATGTAATAAATTATAACCATGAAATATTTGTTTTTTATCCTTTTTATTAAATATATATGTATATATATATGTATATATATATATATATATATATATATATATATATATAAGTTACGAAGAACTTGGTAAACCGAATGGGTAATTCCAAGGAGGATGAAATCCTGAGAGATCAGTGTGAATACAGAGTTATATTTATCGAAAAACAGACCACTTTGTGGTCTGTTTTTCATTAAATATATATATATATATATATATATATATATATATATATATATAAAGTTTCAAATTAAAAAATAATAATGTTTTATTTTATGAAAATATTTATTTATTTATATATATATTTTGATATTTCAAATTGTCCTCAATTTTCATCAGAAATAACTGTTTTGTTACAAATAAATTAAAATTACTGTTTGTTAGCAAGTAGCGTCGTTCGTGAGACGCGGACGTCATGTGATATGGAACGTCACTGTTCGGATATTTCTAACTTAAATCTAACTGTCATAAATATTTTAAAAATATTTTTTTTTTTACTATATCTAAAAAAAAATGCTTAACTATTGAAATATTTATAAAGATTTAAAACACCTAAGTCCCTATTCAACCCTAATTTATGTGTATTTAATTTTAAAATCCAATATGTTTCTTTTTTTTCTGCGTGTGAATGTGGAATTAAAATCGGAATCTATTAATAAACATTTGCAGTTTTCTAATGTGTGTCCTGATTGATTGTAGTGTTTAGCTATGGGGAATAAGGGTTGTTTTAACGTATTGTTTGTTTATGGTTATTAAAACGAAATCTAAAATTGTTTCCAGACTCACCAATATATCCACTATTAGGACATAAATTGCAGAATAAATAATAGATTACGTTATGTGTATCGCAGGTGAGGTTAGGTGGCTGTATCCTGATATTGGTGTTGGGTACGAAAATGTATTAGCTATTACTAAATGTTTGCAAACTAAGCAACGAGGTTTGTTACATTTGTAATTTCCTGTTTGGTTTCTATTGTTTAGATATTTGGTAGAGGTAGGATATATATATATATATATATATATATATATATATCAAAGACACATGGCATAGTAGATAAAGGCGTTATTTTTATCCAAAATTGACAGGACCCAAACATTGTTTGTTTGATACCTGTTTGGGGGGGAGAACTTGGAGAAAATTAACAGCAGATAACTGACATCCATTAATCATGGTACATGGAACTAGAACAGTTTACGCCAGGTGTATGAAATAAAGGGTTCAGTTCGACATTCCAACCATCTGAAGAAGGCCGGAAGGTACAACAGCCGTTCGAAACGTCAATGCAGATGAAGACAATAGTTTGAATAATGGACCTTAAAGTTTTATGTAATACCTTTGTTCATCTCAAAATATACAAAGATACGAAAATATTTAGAAACAGTTAAAATAAATGTAGATGCAAAAAATAAATATGATTTCAAAATGTAAAATAGTATTATGAATTATTTGCAATTACATACATGAGTTTTAATAATTATATATGACCTATATATATTTTATCATTATAAATATTTGTATTATAATCATTATTAAAAAATAAATATAGTCTTCTCAAATTAAATTAAAATGCTAATGTTGTTCGAATCTAAAATTATCTCCAACGTAACTCTCTCTCTTTTTAAATTTTTAAATGTATTTTTATCACACAATATAGTTCAAGCAAATTTTGATTCGGAAAACCGAACCAGAGAATAAAAGTTTCTTAACCATATTTGTACAAAAAAAAGAAAAACTGGCTAATTTAAAATTCAAACATTAATCTTGCTAATGCAAGTTTAAAAAATAAATATATTTTAGAACTTTTTTCTATTACAATCTATTTTCGTTGTCCTCTTATTCCGAGAAGTCAAGAAGAAATGTCATCACACACGACATTTGTAATATTTTGTTTAAAGCTTTAAAAACAAAAAGACCATCATCCCTGGAATTTATAAACCTCGTTGTTTGTTTATTTATTTATTTATTCATCTTGCCAATTAAAAAAAAATTGAAAGTGTTTGTAAGAAGAAGTATTAGCAGATTTATCAACCATTAACAAAAATAAAAAAGTTTTTAAAAGCTATGAAAATTCAGGCCGATTTAGAAACCCATATTCGCCTATCTTTGAAGAGGCGTATATATATAAATGAAAAAAAAGTGAGATCATATCAATTCATGATGACTTAAACGGTGACAAAAATGAAAATATTTTGAAGGGAAAAAGAAAATTATAAAGAAACGAACAAATGGAATGAAACTTTATTGATTTACGTCTTGTCCCCTTCAAGATTTGGAATCATGGTATCCACAATATTTCTTCTTTGTAGCTCTAATCAATGTTTGCCATTTTTGTATTCTCTCCTCCTCCTTGATATGTTTCATTTACACGGTTGCTGTATTTACTTTTCTATGTTTATTGTCCTTTCAGGATAGATTGTTCTGGTTCCACCTCTCTCTATCTCTTGCAGCTCTCAACAAGTTTATTTCCTCTTTTGGTTCCCCCTGCTGACCATGTTCTGTCATCCACTTGCTTAAGGCCGCTAGGTATTTCATGCATTGTTTTCCTTGTCTCTCTTTCCTTTATTCGACCCGTGAGAATAGCAGATTCTCCAGGCCCTTCTTTCTCTTTATGTGTCCCTGAAACTTCAACTGCCTCTTCTTGATGTTAAAATAAACCTCCTCCTTTTTTTTGCATCCTCTCTAAGACATCATCGTTGAAGACGTTGGTCCACGATATCCTTAGTCTGGTTTGTAGAACCACATCTCCATCTCCTTGAGTCTCTTCTTCATCTTTGAGGAAATCGTCCAACATACGGTGCCGTAAGGAGGACAGATATCACGTAACAGTTCAGTGTTACCAAAGAAATCCTCCTGTGTCGCAATACCTGCCCAGCTTTTGGAATACATTTTTGGCCATCCTAATACATCTACAGATCTCAGTGTCGCATTTACCGTTTTCTGTCAGAACGATTTTGATTTAAACTTCCGCGTCTGCTTGATTCTATGTTTCAAATATTGCAAATCGCATTTAGCGCGCATCCTTTACTGATGACCATACATTCTATTTTTCTTTCTCTCTCTTTTTTTTTTTTTAATTTGTGTAGTCCCTTTCACACTCTCCGTCGCTAGGACCCTAAAAAGATTTTATAATTTCTTTTCCGTGCCTGTTATTAGTTTCTGTGTCATCTGCGTACCTTATGTTAGTTAAGATTGTTTTTTGAATGACTTAAAACCTAGTGTTTCAGTTCCCAAAGAAATTATTTTCTGTATAAGTTAAACACGTCCATAT